TGCAAAGATACTGAAATAAAAAAAGACCTTGGTAACAGGAAATGAAAATGGGCCACTGTGGCTGAGACAGGAAGAAATGCAGTCACCTGAAATGAGGCTGGAGAGACAGGCAAGGACCACCAATCATGTAAAACCTTATAAAATGAGTATAACCCAGAATAGTCAAGGTCTTGAAGGCCAGGTGAACCACTGTGGATCAGGATGGCAGTGGTTGGGAATGAAGGAAGTAGTGAAAAGATACTTAATGATAGGGAAAGAATCATTTATCTTGCTTTCCCAAGTATGCTATACTATTAGGTAATCAAATAAACAAGAACAATTTCTCTTTGTGGAAACATTATAGATGAGCAATGAAGAAGGATAGAATTGTATCACCATGTAAAAATTTCTAATGAATGAATGGATACAAATGAATGTGTCGTTACTAACATCACAAAAAGAAAAGGAGAGACAAAGCTGGGAGTAGCAGTGTGTACCTGTAATCCTAGCACTCTGGGAGGCTGAGGCAGGAGGATTACAAATTCAATCCTAGACTGGACAATTCAGTTGAGATCCAGTCTTAAAAGTAAAAAAAAAAAAAAAAAAAATTTTAAAGGGGCTGGGGATGTGCAAAGGCCCTGGATTCAATCACCAATACCACAAAAAAGAAAGAAAGAGAAAGAGAGGGAAAAGAAAAAGAGAGACAAGTATACATTGTGTATCTCCTAATGGGTAAGTAAACTGCCATCTATGAAGTAATCTTTCCAAATATTAAAACAATCTAATAAAGCATCTAGATCCTACTACCTATTTACAGAAAATTCAGAGAACAAAAAGATCCAACTGACAAAATCTAGATCATGGTAAACATTATAGGCCAAAAACCTAGTACCTTAAAAATTTTATGGGTAAAGGAGAGGAAAATATGGAGGACTTAAAAGGTATACCAACCAAGCATAGGATAGTTCTTCAATAATACGGCAAATCTGTACAGAAAGAAAGCAGATAGGTTAATGGTTGCACAGGACTGAAGATTTGGAGAAATAGAAAGTAACTGCTAGTGGGTACAAGTTTCTTTCTAGTTGATTAGAATTTCAAAAAGTAGATTGTGTTGATGATTGCACAACTCTATATATGAAAAAACCTATTGAGTTGTACACCTTAAACGAATAAATTGTGTATGTGAATTACATCTCAGTAAAGCTGGCATACATATAATATACACACACGTATACATTATACATTTATTGTATATTATATATCATATATTATATATGTAAAAGAAGAGATCTGAGGATGGAAAAGGGAATTAGCCAAGGAATTAAGAATTTCTTCACAGAAGGAACAATATATTCAATGCAGAAAGACCATGCCATTTTAGACATGAAAACAAAACTTTGTGGGGCCAGGGATTTAGCTCAATGGTTCCACAGCCTGCCTCAAAACCACAAGGTCCCAAGTTTGATCCCAGGTACCAAAAAACAAAACAAAACAAAACTTTGTGATTTGCATGTTCCTTGAAGGAGTATAGTGAGAGATAAAGCTGATGACATGGAAGGGCCCAGATTGTGGAGTGTTATGAAAGCCACACTAAGGGTTTGGGACTTTATCCTGAGAACAATAGGAAGCCACTGTTGGGTAACATGATTTGCCATGTATTACAGCTCTGCCTAGTATGTAGACAATGAAGAGAGAAGAGACGGTCTACAGTTCTCTAGGCATAAACTATTAGCATCTTATTTTAGGATGGCTGCAGTAGAAGGGGGCACATTCAATAGAACTTGTTGACTGATTGGAATTGAGATGCGGGAGAGTAGCAAAGTACCAAAGCAGACATGGGTGGTGAAATGGGAATTCTAGAAGAGATGAAACCTTCAGGGTAAGATAGCAATGAAACAGTTAATTCTGTACAAATGGAGCTCGTGGTCTCACACGTGGGGGAATGAAATTGCAAACCAAAAGGAAAAGGTCAGGAGAGTTTTTATTGGAAATAAGAAAGGCTCCTAGTTTCTCCAGCAGGGGAATCTGAAATGTGGAAATTACACATGACCCCTCAGTCCAGAATTTTTCGTGGATAAGTAGAGCATGAGAATTGCTCGATTGTTTAGTGGCCACCTATCACAGGTGGTTCTGTGAATTTAAAATAACCAATTGGAATTCAGGCTCTCTAACCCATTTACTCAGCATATAGGGTTTAAAGGAGACTGGGATTTTTAAAGAAAAACTGGTTATTTTACATTTTAAATTCCTGGAAATTCGGGAGCTTAGTAGGAAGGGGCTGAGACTCCCTTCAGTAGGGAGGGGGCTGCATTTCTTGTTGCCTGAGGACATTCGTTCTGGGTCCAAAGTCCTAGTTCACTGTTTATTCTTATCTTATCAATATGGCTGATCGTCCAACTCTATCTCAGGCCCTGTCCTTAGCTAACTAAATAAACTACTTTTTTACAGCAAGATTAATTTTGGTTTATATAATTGGAAATATCAACTAAGGAAGCAAGGTTGATTTGTGCAGCAATGGGCTCTCCTCATTGGGATAATTCAAGTCAGACAGGAGAGCTTTCTGTTGAGTAGAAAGCATTCTTGTTCTAGAACATGTTTTGGACTAAATAATTTCCCACTCAGCTATAATGGTCTACCACAAGAAAGTGTCACTTATGCCAGAATTTGGTCCCTCAGACAGCTCATGGCTGAAATAAAATCCTTGGAATTTGTGTGGAATTTGAATTCCTCAGAATCATCCACAGCAGGTTAATAATTAAAGGTTCCTCATACTGTCTGTTTCACCTGTGTACAGGATTCTGATTTCACAAAATCCTCCCTGAAGAATTTAACCTAGTGTCAAAGAAAGGTGCACATATTCCAGCAACCTAAAGGCAAGTCTCTGCTAGCTCAGGAAGAAGAAAGGTGGGAGGCTGCAGAAGCCACAGAAATTGTCCCTGCCCAAAGCCAAAACAGAGAAGAGGGCTCCTGCAATAATCTTCTTTGTGTCTTTCTCACACCCCCTTCAACTACTTAGCTCTTGCCTTTAAAGGCCCAACAGCCATTTATTGGCTAATAGATTCTTCAGACCTAAGGTGGGGGTGAGATTGGCAGCATTGATAACATTTTCAGTTGTGGAAAAAATATATATATATATACAGGTGTATGCTAAAAGTTTTAAATCTGAAATGAAAAGAAAGCACAAAGGAAGGGAACAGGAGAGGAGACAAGAAAATATTCTAAGAAAAGCAGTGTGAAAGGCAGCTGCCAGCTGAGTCCCTTGAAACACAATTAGTACAGACTTGCCTAATAGTCTTTTATTGATTGTCTTATTACATGCCCTAGGAGAAGTAGACTGATTTGACTACTGTCTTCCCACCAGCTTCTTCTCTGGCTGTTTATCTTGTACATAAACTTTACACACATCCCACCAGGGCTTCCAGCTCAGGCTCCATCCTGAGCCCTGCTTGGTGGCTGCCCTCCTCTCCTAGGTAGCTCTCTGCCTTTTTTCCCTTCCCCTCGATCCAATCTCAGCAAAACTGTCTGGCCCAAATTTGCATCTTTCTTTCTGATTGTGCTCATCTCCGAAATGGGAATAATAAAAATGATGGAAATAATGCTATAAACTATGGATCAGGTTGCTGCGAGGACTAAATAACTATTTGAAACCTTGTTGGAAACTTCAAAGGTCCACGCTGAACCTATTTTTAATTGCCTTTATTTCTAAAGTAGATTTCATTGGTTAGAATTAGGGTGCTCGCGGGTTTCGGCTGTCTCTCAGGGATAGGATTAATGTGAGATGTTACCAAACGTTTCTGAAGATAAATAAATCCACTGTATTTCAGCGGGACGTCAACCTGTCTTGCACAAAGCCCTTTGGAAAGAAGTCTTTCGGTTTAAAAGCTGGAGGTGTGGGAAAACAAAGAATGCAAATGCAGAGTTCCCAAGGCCACCAGTCCCTGGCCAGAGTCGGCCCGCCTCCCCGCAGTTGGGCGCGCTGCTGCTCGGCCTCGGAACGGAGCGCCCGCCCGCTAAGGCAGGGGAACTCAAGTCTTCGGGGTATAGGAGTTTTAACACTCCACGACTGATTCTGCTGGTGATCGCGAGCTCCAAAACCCCTAGGCGTAACACTGGCTCACCGGAAGGCCAGCGAAGTAAGTGATGTTGTGTAATAAATGACAGATTCACAGCTGGGGAAAGAATAGGCGTATTTTTTGCAGCCTGTCTGTGTTGGGGAAATCAGAGGGCCTTGAGTCGCCGAGTCCCTGTCTCCAGTCATCTCAGAACCCCACTTCGTGCCAGGCCGACCACCAGAGGCCAGAGCTGTTCTCGCGGTGCTATGCGATGCCGGAGAAGCCCCAGCTGCGCTGACCCCGACACCCCAGCCGGGTTCTCCCGTCCTCGCGGTCCGCCCCCAGGCAGGCCTCGACTTCCCGACATGAAAAATGTCACGCTACCAACTGATCTCCCTCCTCGAGAAAAGGGGTTGGGGTGTTTCGGTTTCGGCCCCGCTGGTACAGAAACCACCCGAAAAAAATCGGAGCGTCTTTCGTTTCTAGTTTAAAGAAAAGAAAAATGCAAATTAAGCCTTCTCTCCGTGCAAACGTGGAGCTGGCTGAGAGGACAGAGAGACCGAGGACAAGCTGGACAGTGTTCGTGGCTAACAGGCAGGTAAATGGCACGTGAGCACCCAGGCCGAAATGCTCGGCCAACATCAAGACTGACGGCGTCTCAGGGTCACGCGTGCGCCACCGTCTAAGGACACAACGCGGCCCACAGTTCGCGCCCGGACACCCAGGAGAGCTTTCTCTGCGCTTGCGCAAAAACCACGGTTTCTCCTTGCCCCGCCCCGAGCCCTGCCGTCCCTCCCACTCCCCCTCCCCTTCCCTAGCCCGGCCGTCCGCGCGGAGCATTGTGGGACACAAACAAAGTGCCCCCAAACAGGCTGGAGCGGAGCGGCAACGGCGGCGGCGCCGGCCCGCACGCGCGCGGCGGCGGCTCCCTCCCAACCTCCCCCTCCCCTCCCCTCAGTCCCCTTTCCCTTCCCTACCCCGCCCCGCCGGGAAAACGCGAGCCGTCGCCGCGCTCCCCAAACCGCCGCCCGCCTCGGCCAACGGCCCCCAACGGCCGCGCGCGGCTTCCCGCCTCCCCTCAGGCTCCTGCGGGCCCGGGGCCGCGCTCCTCGCCGCTGCCGCCGGCCGCGCTTTCCCGCCATGCCCCAGCCGCTGGCTGCCTACGGGCCTAGGCGCGGCGGCCCGAGATAGGGTCCCCGCGCTCCCGGGGGAGGAGAGGGAGCAGCCGCGCGCTCCGCCCCCTCCCCCCGGGGCTGCCGCCACCGCCTCAGCCTGGCGGGGAGGAGGAGCAGCAGCAGGCCTCCCGGCCGGCCGCCCGCCCGCAGGTAACGGGGAAGGGAGGGCGGGGGTGGCCGCCGCCGCCTGCGAGTGCTCTGGGAGCTCGCGCGGGGACTCGCACGCCCGGGCGGCTGGGGGGGGGGGATCTGGTCTGTCACCCCGCCCGCGCCGAGAGACACCCCGCAAGGGTCTTCTCGGTGGCGTTTAAACCTTTGCGCAGGAGACCGGCCTCGGGCCCGCAGTCCGGGTGTCCTCAGGGGCGCTGGCCCGCGCGCCGTTGTGCCCACCGAACCCAAAGCGGGCGGGGCTGTTGCCCCCTCTCACCTGGTCCAACCGCGAGCCCGATTCTGCTTATTCTCCTCCTCCGTTGCTGCTATCTCTCCGGTACTGGAAAAAAAAGATGGCACTTGTTTTAAAAAAAGAAAGAAATGCAAATACCTCCTTTTCTTTCCTACCTGAGGATCACTCTACATCTAGTCAGTTTATTGCCGGCCTAACTAGAAAAAGGGATTACCTGCAAGTGAAATAACAAGAATGCTGGAACTGATGAAAGGGAATTGCATGTGACTTGTGTTTGAACCGTAATCGGAATTTAGTATGAGACCCACTGGTCGTGAGCTTCATTGGAACACCTCCTTATAGAAATGAAGACAAATTTTTAATTTCCTTTTCAGTATATAAGTAGAGCGTCTGTTAAGGTTAGGATAAACTTCTCCTTAACTTACACTTATTTTCTGTTTTGTTCAGACATAAGCTAATACCAGAAGCAAACTACTTTGCACAATATGATAAATACCAAAGAGTTTGAATAGCTCAAGATTTTATTGGTTTTCTTTTGCCTAGCGTTTCAGTTGCATTCTTTTGTTTGTTTTTGAAACAGGGTCTCACTTTGTAGTTCAGGCTGGCCGAGGACTCACCCTGTAACCCGAGCTGGCCTTGAACTCTTAGTGATCCTCTTGCCTCAGCCTCCCGAGTGCTGGTGTAACAGGCATGCGCCACCAGGTCTGGCAATTGCATTCTTAAATTTAAAAAACAACTGTGTAAATATGCATTTTCCCCATTATTTTACTTTAACTTCCAGTGGATTCTTCAGAATCATCCACAGCAGGTATTCACAATATTCAGTTTTATCTAATGTAGTTTCCTTTACAAGGGAATGTGAAAATGTGTTTGAGGATGACTACATTTATTAATTATGAAAACTAGATTTACTCATTTTGTGCAACATTGCTAGGCATTTCACATATGTAATCTTATTTAATTCTTGAAACAACCTAACCATGAGGCTGTTGGTACTTGAATTTTATAAATGAGACAGAAACTTTAGTAGTATTAAGTAACTTGCCCTAGGCCACAGAAGAAGTAAGTGAGAGTTGAGATTTGAATCTGGATACAGTCCTAGGGTAGGTGCACTTTCTGCTGTACCTCTCAGTGGAGGCACGATTTCTTTTAACTTTGTCAGGAAAAATTTCAGTCTTACAGAAGTTGGAAGAACTTGGGGTATTGAGTGCCCCAGTACCTAGATTCAGTGATGGACACTTTTGGCACACTATTCCCTGCTTTCTTTTCCACTGTGAACACTCCCTATCAAAATTAACATTATTCCAATTTCCTCAGTTCTAAAGTGTAGTCTGTCAATAGACGTGCATTACATTTAGTCATCATCTACCCCCTTTGGTGTAAAAGGATAGTACCCATTCATCTCTGCATTTTTTCTAACACCTAGTTAGCAAACTAGTTGTCTTGTAGAATACAACCACATTCTGGACTTGTCCATGTTCTCCTAGTATCCATTGACTTCTTCCTCTTTCCCCCTTAATTTCCTCTCAGCTGGAAGTTTGGTCTAAAGAAAAGTTTGATTTGCCTAAAGTAAAACTTTTTTTGGCAAGAGTACTTAATGGGTGATGTTGTGTACCTCATACTGTATCATATGGTACATACCATAGGTAAAATCAGATTGCCATGCTGTGGGTGATGCTAATGTGACCATGCTATGGTTTGCCAGTTTGTTATTAGTATGTGACCATTAGGTGGTACTTTGACACCAGGCAAATAGCCTGCTTCTGACTACATTATGCTTAGTAATTTTGTTTTTTGAGACAAGATCTCGCTACGTAGCTCACACTGGCTTTGAACTTACTATGTAGCCTAAGCTGACCTCAAATTTGAAGTGATCCTCCCCTCCTGCCTCACCTTCCTGCTGGGATTATAGGCATGTGCCACCACCCCTGGCCTGCTCAGTAATTTTTAGTACCTATTGATGACTGTTGCTTCAGTCAGCTGTTTCACCAGAGGTTCTCTGTAAGAAAAAGATTTCCCTGATTGGGGGGGATGAACTAAAATATTCCTCCTGAAAGTGCGGATTAAATGCTTATTTTCATCACCTCAGTATTCAAAATAAGAGCCGAGAAAATAGTCACCCCAAGTGGTGACAAATAGATTGTTTTCATTATTTTGGGGATTAATACCCCAATGGACTCATAAGGTTTAATTTATTCACTGTTTTATAACCAGTTATGATCCTTTTTATTTTTGATGACCAAATTGTCCCAAATTTTTGTTAGTAGGAACTCCTTTGGATGGCTGCTGTGTTTTTTGACACCTCTGCTCACTATTAATCTTCGAGTGCTTTCTGGCATAAGATATCCTGGGCTGCTTTTGTACTTTTTTTTACTTCACATCTGGAAAGAGCTCTTTATCCAAGGAGTCTTGGTTTCTTTTAGTGACAAGTGATATATAGAAACCAAGATCTAGATGTTTGGCATATTCATGGCTACCAGGAGTCATTGCTTCTAGGCTCTTTGAGAGAACAGAAGAAATTTGTTTTTCGTTGTTTGTGCATTTCTAGTGATATAGCCAATTCAAATTTAGTATAACAGTTCTTTGATTCAATGTTTCTTTCATCTCTAATGAAAAGCATGTTATAGATAAAATATATTTATTGTAAAATCATTTTAAAATTACAATACTAGTACTACTGCTTTTGAGTGAAGTTGAAGATACTGTCTGCAGATATAAAGGTTTTTGGACATGAGATCAGTATAGAACATTTTGAGCTAGGCGTGGTGTAAGACTGAGGAAGTTCAAGGCCATCCCGGCCACATAGCAAGACCCTGTCTCAAAAATAAATAATAAAAAAAGACATTTTGTTTGAATTAGACCAAATCTGATAGAAATTCAGTATTATGTGGTTTCAAATATTGTGTTCAGATATTTTTAAGAGGGAACAATGCTTGTCTAAAGTAAGCTGAGCACAGTTAGGCTTTTCATTTGCTTCTGTCAACCAGGTGCTAAAAAACAAAAGTTGTACCCACAACAAAAGTGTATATTCTTCTGTGATCTCCATCACTGTTTTTGGTAACAGAACAATCATATTTCCTTCAGGGAATAGAGTGGGATGATGGATGATGCATGCACTTTAGACCCATTCACCACCCTCGTTCTCATTTCAATAACATAGACTGCCCAGGGTATTTAAAACAGATAAAGCAATGAAAAACATGATGCAGACAGTTGCAAGACTGTGTATAGCTGTGGAACAGCCAGAGCCTATTGTGGTAGGATGTATGGACTAATAATTAGGTGATAATAACTGCTGTCTTACTTTCCTCATTGCTGGGACAAAATACCCAACACCTACAAGTTAAAGGAGGAAAGGTTTATTTCATCTCACAGTTTGTAGAGGTTTCAGTCCACAATCAGCTGCCTCCAAAGCAGAGCAGCATGGCAGACGAAAAACAGTCAGTGTCAGGGTAGGCCAGAAGCAAAAAGTGAGCCTCCTTTTTCCTTTTACCTCATCCAGGCTACAAACTTCTTGGTTGGTGCACCTACACCCAGGGTGGGCCATCGGGTTATCCACACCCAGAACTATGCTAACCCAATCAGTGGACTAATTTACTACCACACCCTTAATCCCAGTATCACACACCCTAGATCAGTGGTGGCAAACCTGGCACACTGCCACAGGGGGCTGTTTGTATCACTGAAACCTCTAAAAAAGGTTTGCCATCACTGCCTTAGATCCAGCCACCTCTAAAAAGCCCCACCTGTAAGCATATGAAGCTTTGGGGGAACATCTAGATACAAGCCCTAACAATTGCTAACTTTTGTTGTGCCCTTTCCATATAGCAGTTGTGCTAAACATTTTATACCTCATCTGAGTTAAATCCCATACTCTTTGATATTGGTACTAGTATCTTATTTTGCAAGTGAGGAAACTGATCTAGAAGGATTAAATGACTTGCTTAGGTCTCACAGCTAATCATTGGCAGACCCAGGTTTTAAACTGAAATCTGTCTTCAGAGTTTGCACTTAGCTGCTTGCCACACCTTAAGCTAAGTATAACAAGTCATAAAATTGGATATATATTTCATCACTATCAATAAGGAGCTGCATGGCTGATGTTTATCCTATAGAAACCCATAGATTGCATGTCAAGAGTCACATGTGCTTCTCAAGTCTGTTACATATCCTTAGATTTCCTCTTTCAAGAGATGTAGGATAGATTCGGGCATGGAGTATTGCCAAGTTTGAGCCCAGCCTGGGCAAAGTAGCAACTTAGCAAGACCCTGTCAAAAGTTAAAAAAGATTTAAAAAAAAAAAAAAAAAAGGACTAGGGATGTAGGTCAGTGCAGAGATCCTGGGTTCAATCCCCAGTACCTCAGAAAACAAAAAAAGAAATGGAGTTCCTGACTCCGTGCTTCAGGAAGTGTGTTTATATAACACTTTTTTAAACAGACATTTTAAAAGTAAAGTATCAAAAATCAAGGTGGATTGATAAGTAGACATATGTGTAAAACAAGTATTGTATAATAGAAGATTAATGATAGACGTAGGAATGGCTATTCAAGGCAGTCAGCTGTAAATTTCTTTAAATGTTGCTATATGTGAAAATGTTCACAGTAAACGTTGGAAGGAGTGATTAAAAATGCATTCCTATTATAAAACATGATTGACAGCTGTTTAAAAACTAATAACATGCAATATCCCCCATGTATCTAGAATGATCCTCTGAAGCGTCTTACAAGTTATCCTAGCCTTGTAAAGAATAAAACTTTTTTCACTGAAAGTAGTCATCAAAGTTAGTCCGTTGTAAAGGGGACTCCCTCATTACTTCAGAGACTCTTAATTAGGCTCCTTTCAATACTGATTTTTAATACCTTTATAACTGTTACATGTATCAAAAATAATCTCCTGTGGTTTCCTGACATTTTGTAGGCTGCAATTGAGTATACTTTTTATATCAGCTTTTGAGGTGTTTTTGCTTTAAATGGCACCACATTCACTCTGAAACATAGCTCTTACACCTCAGAATGATTGTTTGAAATTAATCTATTAAGCTGAAAGTCACATCAGTTTTTCTTTGTTCTTTATATTAGAAATACTTCACTGCATTTTAGGCCATGAGCTGGAAATCTTTAGATTTTTAGTCACAGATTCTAAAACAGTTGAGTATATATATGCCTTTTGAAAATACAAAGAAACCTTTAATTTATAACTGACATTGTTAGTACCTAGGTTGCTCTTGGTCAGCACATTTTTGCTTATCCTAGGGTAAAACAGTGGCCTGTACTATCATGGCATTTCACATTGGTAACTCTTAGAAGAGTCAAAATGGGTTGGTCAAGCTCATTCTTAATAACTTACTCCTGGAAAACATTATCTCCCTTTTCTCTACATTGAATATCCTTCCATTTTAATGGGATTTAAAAAAATATATCTTTAAGAACTTAAAAGTACAAATGTCTGATAATCAACCAGTCTTTTTGTAATTTCAACATTCTGTTACTTTACTGTATTGCCACTCTGCTGCAGGTATTTTGGCCACTTTAATATTTATTCTGTTACCTCTGAATATTGCTGTCTTTCTGTAAATATTGAACTGTATTTCTTTATACTTTATATTGCTTTTAATTTCAATTGATTTGTTTCTCTTGTTGTTGTTTGCGGGACTGGGGGTCAAACCAAGGCCTCACTCATGCTCTACTACACTCGGGTTCTCTGCCTCAGAGCTATATTCCCAGCCCTTTAATTTGGTTTTGATAGTTTTTGATGGCATTCAGCAAAGCTACAAATACCTTGGGGTAGCAAATAAAGAAGAGCATGATTCTCTGGAATCAAGTTTTTAATGGACCTATTACCCTCTGGAGTCTGAAACAACTTTAGATAACTTTTTTAAAAACTTATTTCATCTTATTCAGATCTTAACCTGCTAAATATCTGATCTTTGCCTACCCTTGGCAAATATGTATTTAGTATGATATTTCATTAAATATTTTATTTGTCCTCTGATTAATGAAATTGGAATGTTCTTTGGTTCAAAGAAAGAAAATAAAGTCTTAAAAAGTTTGCAGAGACTTAGACATACAGTAATTTTGCTTTCATTTCATTTTCCTCTTTTACTAATACTAATGTGTCTGTGTATTCCTTCTTCCACTTTTAATTTTTTCTCCTTTTTATGTTGCAACTACTTGGGATTTACTTTTCTTGCACTCTTTTTCTTTCTGCTTTGGTTCTTCCCAATGCTCATTTTCTTTTTGTGGCTTTCCATTACTGTGTAGATAGTTTCTTTTATGTTTGGTGCCATTTATGTGCCATATAAAACTGTACAAACCATACTTATATGAGAATTATTTTCTTTTACAGGAATCATAACCTCTCTTTGCTTTTTAGCCCACCTGGTATTGTTTCTTCCTTATTTCTTCTTTCAGCTAGATTTGCTTAGCTTAACTCTGAGAGGCAGTGTAGCATAATGTTGGAGCACAAACTCTGAGCATGCTACCAGAGTTTAAATCTTGACCCTGTTACATGCTAGTAGTCTGGCATTGGCCTAATTCCTTAACTTTTCTTTTATGCTTTATTTTCTTCCCTGGTAAGATAAAGATACTAAATGGTATCTCTCTCAAACGTTATGTGAAAATTGTTATGTAATATGTAAAACATACTTAGAACAATTGCCGGGCACATACCAGGTACCATGTTATTAACTGTTAACTAATGATTATTGTTAGTGCCTTTAGTAAAAAATTATTCAAAACCATTATTTATTTTTGACCAGTTTATTGAAATGTAACTATTTTTTTTAAGTGTTTCTGAATTTTTTGAAGCAAAACATTTATTGGGTTGTTTTGGTTTTTTGTTTGGTTTTTGTTTGTTTGTTTTTGGTACCGAGGATCAAACTCAGGTCCTTGTGCTTTCAAGGCAGGCAGCGGAACCACTGAGCTAAATCCCCTGCCCTACTGGTATACTTTAGATATACATAATGTTAACACTCATCGTAGGGAATTTGTACCTAAACATGATATATCCTGCCTCTTCTTTTTTTCCCATTCCCCCCTCCCCTTGACATAAATACGAAAAGCTTCGTTTCCATTTTTTCCTTCTACTTTCACTTTTTTTTCCTTCCTTCCACTGAAATGTAACTTTAAAGGTGTAATTTATTGCCACTACAAATTCACTGGTTTCACTTGGATCTTCAGTTCCTCTTAACCTTCCTTCTGTTTTGCCTCAAAATTTTACTCCATCTCCTCCCTTCTTAGTAACTTCAAAGAGAAATAAAAGCAGAGCTATCAGACAAGAACTCCCACTACTTTGCACCACACTATGAAGACTACAGGGCTGGGGATGTAGCTCAGAGGCGCCACACCTGCCTGTTAAGCATGAGGTTCTGAGTTCATTCCCCGCTACCAGAAAAAAAAAAATTAATAAAGACTACAGCTGTACCTTCTCTTTCTTCTGTTTCTCCATCACTGGGAAAAGGCTAATCCTTTTCACTCATGCTCTAAATCTCATTTGTCTCTGCCTATCCGGAGTTCTCATACCATCTATTATCACTTGTATCTTTAACATTTCCTTCTTCTCTGAATCTTTTCCAACAATAATCAAAACATTCTCTGCATATTTACCACAATAAAATACATATGTACAGTTGTGGGGAGGTGAAAATCATGTTCTAGTTTGTCTATTCCATAACAATATCAACGTCTTTTCTAGAACTCTACTAAAGTTAACCCCCAGCCCTTTCTTGAACTCTTTTTATTTCCCTCCAACTAAGCCTCTTTCACTGTCTTTAGAACCATACTGCTTCACGTTGAATTGTGTACTCAGTTTTTCACTCCCTATTGCAGTCTTCTAACTCTGTTACTCCTCCTTGTGTGCTATTACAAGGTCATTAGTGACTCTTGTGGCTATATTAAGTAGACATTGGTTTATACCTTTCACCTGTCATTTTCATCATTTGATAGTCACTCCTTGAAATACCCTACACCCTTTATTTCTGAAATGTCCTACCATCCTGGTTATTCTGTATATTTCTTTCCTAGGTTTTCCTTCAGTTTCTACCTCCATTTTTAACTCTTTTCCTCTTTTAATCTGTCTAGCTGAAGGCTTATCCATATTGCTTTCTTTTTTTCTTCAGAAAACCAAGTTTAGCTTTCATTTTTCTGTGATTTGTGTTTTCTTAATTTATAGCTGTGTGTTTTACCCCTCATACTTATTTTAGGTTTATTTTGCTTTTTTTTTTTCTACCTTCCTCACCCCATTTTTTATGTTTTATTTTGAGACAGGTTCTCAGAGTTCCCAGAGTAGGCACAAACTTGCATAAACTACCTCATCCTCCCAGAGTGCTGGGATTATAGGTGTGCATCACCACATCCTACTTTTTCTAGCTTCTTAAGGTTGAAACTTAAGACCACTGATTTTTTTTTAAATTGTGAAATATGTGCAGTTCAGTCGCTTTAAGTATATTCACATTTATGTACAACTGTCGTCACCACCCATCCTCAGAACTCTTCATTATTCACAGCTATAGCTCTGTCCCCATTAAACACTTAACTGCCCATTCTACTCTCCCTGTATTCCCTTGGAACTACTATGAATTGGAATATTCTAGGTACATCATATAATTGGGTCATACAGTATTTGCCTGACTGGCTTACAGGGTTTTTCCATGCTGTAACATCAGAATGACCTGCTTTTTAAGGCTGAATAATATTCTGTTGCATATATGGGTCACATTTTGTTTATCCAGTTATCTGTCCATGAACATGTGAGTGATGCTGCATTGATCATGAATGTATAGATTTGCTCATGTCCCTATTTTCAATTCTTTTGGGGCTATACTTAGAATTGGAATAGCTAGAATCATATGGTAATTCTGTTGTTCTTTCTTTTTCTTTGAGGAATGCGTAAAAGAAAATTCTGGTAATTTAATATTATAAGTTTGATTATTAATTAATTCTGGGTTAGTCTCTCTCAGTGTCTAAACCAGAAAGGACTTATTTATGTAGGAAAATGATTGAAATGTTTATTTGATTGAAAAATAGCTGGTTATGGCTGCGAGGAAGTGACCCTGGATTCATTGTCCTGCACCAACAAAGAAAAGAAAAATGGCTAGTTACAAAAGTTAATTGATACCTTAAAACTCAGATAAAGTAACTCACTTTCAAGTTCTCCCTGAAAACTTGAAACTCTGGAGGAAAAACCCTTGGGAAATAAACCATCATCAAGTAAATACTGCATATACATAGTGTTTCCGAGAAGAAAACATGTTCTTAAATATGAATTCTCATGTGAAGCCATGAGAACTAAAAAGCATGGTTCCTTTCATGGAAAGATATAGACATTTGTTTTTACTTAGATTGACAACAGAGTGACAAGATTAGAACAAAATTTAAAATACAAGGTACTACTATATTTGTAAAGAAAAGCAATTCTAAAGAAAGCAATACTGAGAAGTATCTTATTTTAACTTTTTGGAGAAGTAGGGTGTGATTGAGTTATAATGGTCACTGGTCTAAGTTCACTTTTTTTTTTTTTGGTACCAGGAATTGAATTCAGGACCTTGCAGTTGCCAGGCAGGTAGGGTACGTTTCAATTTTCTATATAGTTTTTTCAGTTTTCTATGTAATTTTAACACTAAGTTTTTACTTTGAGTTACGGTTCTTCTATTCTTAAATGAGCTGCCATTAACAGGTTTTTTCCAAATTGTTTACATGTTGTATGTGTTAAACACCTGTAAAATATTTATTTTATGTATTTTGTCTCAAATTTTATTTTGTTATTTTGCTCAGCTTTTGCAATTAAGCTTTTTAAAATAATTTGAATAAACATAAAGGAATATGCTTATCCCAAAAATAAACACCATAAACCACAAATGTTTTTAAGCTCTTTTTGGTTTGTTTTTTGAGAATAGGGTTCCACTGTGTACTTCAGGCTGGCCTTGATCTCACTTGTAGTCCAGGCTGACCTCAAACTTGCAACAGTCCTCCTGCCACAGCATCCGAAATGCTAGGATTACAGGCATGTGCTTCCGCGCCTGGCCTGAGCATTTTTTTAAATGCCATTCTGTGTTCAGAAAGTTATAAAATGAAGACAGGGCCCAACCTCTTCCCTCAAGTTGAATATGGATTTGAGGGAGAGCAAAATCTATAAATACCTCATTGACCACCTATTATAGGTAAAGAATTGTACTGAAGATAGAATGGCAATTCTTCTGTGGAATCCCTCCCCTATAATAAGCAGTGTTATCAGTAAGTACAACCCATGTAAATGGTGTAGATACAGAAACAATTAGGAACCTCTCCTGGTTGGCCCACACAAAGGCTTGTATACCAGTGTTCCTACACCTTTTATTTGCAACAGTCATTTCAACAATTAAATGACAAAACAGATTGTGGTACTTCTGTGCAGTGGTATAGTCCTCAACAATCAAAAGGAACAAAAAATTGGGTCCATGTTGGTGGCAACATGGATGAATCTCACAATAATTATATCAAGTGAAAGAAGCCATATTATATGATTCCCTTTTTATAATTCTAGAAAATTCAGTTAATCCAAAAATGAAAAGCAAATTGATAGTTCCCAAGGAGGAGCAAAGGGAGACATTGCAAAAAAAAAAAAGAAAAGAAAAGTACAAACCTACAGGGATCACAGAAATGTTTCTTATTTTGATTGTGGTGATGAAATAAATGTCATATCTCATCATATTGTACAAATGTGAACATGTACGTCAGATCTCAGTAAAGTACTTATAAAACAATGTTTTTTAATTTGTGCTAAAAGCACAGATACGGTTATTTCATAAAAATTTTGGAATTACTCTTGGAAAGACAGGGCACACACTCTGGAAAACCTGAATTGGTATTATATCAAATGCTGGATCACAGGTGCAGGCAGAGCTTCTGCAGGAGTTCTGTGGAGGGAAATGCAGCGTGGCTTAATGATAAAATGAGGACAAGAGTTCATTATTCAGAAGTTGTGATCACGTTTGAGTGCCTTTGGGGGTCCTTATTTTATCTGATCTTCATTTTCCCGGATCTTTACTTTCCCAATTTAGTTCATAAGGTTTTTTAAATCCAAGGAAATTATATTTGAAAACACACTTAATCTGAAAGTACCACAAATGGAAGGCATTGCTAACATCAGGGTGGAGAGAAGAACAAAATAAAGTAGAATTTAATATGTTAAAGCAATTAGGAATCAGGTGTGGTATCACAGACCTGTAATCCCAGCAGCTGGAGGCTGAGGCAGGAAGATCACTGCTGAATTCGAGGCCAGCGTGGGCTACATAGTGAGTTTAGGGCCAGCCTGAACTACATGGTAAGACCCTCTCTCAACAACAACAAAAAGAGCAATAAGAAAGGAGTTCCAGAGAGGAGCTAGAGATGGGGTTGTATGATATAGATAGAAAATGATGAGTCAAAGACAGTTTGACTAGAGCGAAGAGTTCATATTGGAGAGAGAGAGCACCTCTAAAACATCTAAAAGCATAGTAGAGTGCTCGCTTCGGCATCGCATATACTAAAAGCATAGTAGGGCATGGAGATTATAAAATACATAGTGAGAAAGCTTAGCGTGGGATATGTTGTTTTTGCTAATCTTGTAACCATGGACAAATCATTTATTCTATGAGTCTCAATTTCCTCATCAGTATGCTGGGAGGTAATTTGTCTTATTTCACATAGTTTATATATTGAAATTAATCTGTATTAAATCTGACAAGAGTATATGAAAGTGCTGAAAAGTACTAATCAGTGGCTGTGAATTGTTCAGTATGATAAAGGCATGAGCTAAAAAGTATCTAATCTTAGATGATTGTATTTTGAGACCACTTGAATAATGTTAAAGGATGGATTCAAGGTTGATATCACTAGAGGCAAGGAGACCAATCAAGGTGCTGTCTAAGTACTCCAACTCAGTGGCAGTTGGGAAAAGAAAGGATGGTTTGAGACAGTCGCTGGGTCTGTGTCGTGAGAAAAAGGAAAAAGAAGTTGTATTAATTTCCTGATTATCACTGGCTGGATGTCTTAAAACAACAAATTTATTACCTCACAGTTTTGAAGGCCAGAAGTTTGAAATCAGATCAGTGGTTTGAAATCATGGTGTTGGCAGGTGGCCACACTGCCTCTAAGGCCCTGGGGCAGTGGTGGGGAACCTGTTGCATGCAAGCCACAGCTGGCTTGTTTGGTATTTTTGAAAGCTCTGAAAGGTTGGCCATCAACATTCTAAGGGGAAACCATTCTTGCCTCTTTAAACCCCTGTTGGCTGCTTGGATTCATCTTGAAACCACGTCATTCACTTCAGTTCCATACACTACCCTGTCACTCCTTCATCTCTTCCCCTTTTCTTCCCTCATACAAGGATACTTGTGACTATGTGTAGAAACCACTGGATATTCCAGGAAACTCAGTCACATCTGCAAAGTCTTTTCTATAAACGTATCATTCACAAACTTAGAAGATTGGTACACAGACATTTAGAGTTCTTTAAAGTGGACATTTTGGGGTTTTGGGAGTGTTCTCATTGGCCAGAGAACTTCAAAAGGAAGAGTACCTTTGTGAGACAGGGTAACAAATTCGTTTGGACCTGTTGAGGTACCTATCGGATATCCATATAAGGATATCATTTTATATATCAGAAAACCTTTAGTTATGTGGCTTAAACAATAAGGGCTTTTATCATTTCAAACAAGACTAAAGAAGTGGTAGGATATGGCAGCTCCAGAATTGATTAACTCAGCAATTCCACGACATCATCAAAGACCTATTTTCCTCTCAACTTTTTGCTTGCCATTATTAGGCTAGCTCTCCCACAGTTACGGATGCTCCCCAGAATCCTAGTTTTCAAATCTAGAGCTGAAACCATACATAGCTGGCTTGCTTTGTGTGCCTTTTTTGGCCAGGAGAGTTAACCCTCGAAGCACCTCACAGGTTCTATTTTTCTTGACCATTATCTTTTTGTTTCCCCATTAAGTTTATTGGTACATTTTAGGTATAAAATCCAGTTACATTCATCATTGGGACCTTGTACCTTTGCATGATGTATCTTGGTTCTTATTTTTTTTTCCCCTTCCCCTGCCCTCCCTTTACACCCTCCACCCTTCCCTATTTGCAAAGACTTTGTTTCCATTTTGTTCCTTTTCTCATATTTTTTCTTTTCCCTTCTTTCCTTTCCCCTCCCCCTCCCACTTCCCCTACTCCTTTAGACCTTTTCTTTAGACCTTTTCTTTAGACCTTTTCTTCCTATTACACAATATCAATTATACATTTTTTAAATTTCAACATCAAGATCTAGGAGACATTACCACAGGCTTTACAGAATTTAAAAGGATATAGAAAGCATATTACAAAAATCTGTTTTGAAATAAATTTGACAGCTTCTAAGAAGTACCTTGGAAGACAAATTAATGAAACTAACTCTGGAGGAAATATAAAATTTGAATAGCAC